GAGAGTGTGTATATTCTCTGTAAGGCAATTAGATAGGATCTATCAATTTTATATTCATAACCTATGGACCAAGCAATTTCACCTCTGGTACTTAGCCTACAGATAGTATTGCACACATAGTAAACAATTTATGTATAAGAATATTCATTGTAGCATTTTTCTCTTGGTTAAAGATTGGAAACAACCTAGATGTTCACCACAGATCAGTTAAATAAGTTTGGCACGTTCATGTAACAGAATACTATGCCACAGTGAAAGAGAACGCGAGAACTCTCTGTTCTATGTGGGAAGATCTCTGATATACAGCAAGTCCTCAAACAAGGTCGTTTCATTTATTGTCATTCATTACAACATTGCTGGGATGCTGTAGGAACTTACCTCTTGTTTATATCAATTAACCTGTGGTAAAATTGGTTTCATTACCTGTTGTTTTGCTTAAAGTCGCAGAACCCATTGACATTAAGTGAGGACTTACCGTAATGTTAGTGACAAACTCAAGGTGCTCAATTGTATATAAAGTATGTTTTGATTTGGCTGGGACAATAAGAGGATATTTTGTGTGTGAGTTTGTCAATGCATGGGCCAGAAGAACATAGGAATAAAGGAAACAGGTAAAGAGTAGTTGTTCTTAGGAGAGAGCTGAATAGGTGGAATCAAAGGAAGGAGGAACATTTACTTTTTATTCTAATCTTTCTGTACCTGTGTGTGAATATCTATTTTTTAAAAGATTTTATTTATTTTATTTTTAGACAGAGGGGAAGGGATAGAGAAAGACAGGGAGAGAAACATCAATGTGTGGTTGCCTCTTGCACACCCCAAGCTGGGGACCTGGCCTGCAACCCAGGCATGTGCCCTGACTGGGAACCAGAGACCCTTTGGTTCACAGGCCGGCACTCAATCCACTGAGCCACACCAGCCAGGGCTGAATATCTATGTTTTATTTATTTTTTATTTTTATTTTTTTGTTTTGTTTTTAGTAGTTCCATACAGTGATTCCTATTATGTTTTATTTCATTTCATGTATTTTATTTTAAACTTGTATTATTTCATTAACCAATGTCACCCCAATAAATTCAATGTTAAACCAAAGGAGAGAAGATAAGAAAATAAGATAATCAGCCCTGGCTGGTGTGGCTCTGAATACCTATGTTTAAAAAAAATCCATTGCACTATCATCCTAGAATCAAATCTCTACCTTGACATCAGCTGTAAAAATTAGATTATGGATAGCTTTCTTGGTGAAACAAACACAACTGAAAAGTATTAAACTAAAAAAAAAATTAACAAAGTATTTGAATGGCCGAACAGAATCTTGAGCTCAGTTGCTAGGTGAGCAAAAGGCCTTGAATTGTCTTGCTTGGTTTTGTCAGTCCTGAAAGTTCAGGGCTAGTGCGGTATCTGTGAAGTTGGAGGGATGGTGTTTGAATAACCCCTTCCTTTTGTGACACTGCTGCTCTGAGTAGGTAGGTGATGGGGAAGGATGTCACCCAAGGAACTGAAACCTTGGATCTGTGGCCAATACAGATGCCTTACTGACTGTCCCCTCTAACCTAGAGAGGTTATAACGGGGCACTTCCCTATCAGAGTTCTCAGAATTTCTCTTCCATGATTGTACTTTCATTTATCTGACCTTCAGCTAGACTGGAACCTCCATAAAGGAGAAGCACACACTTACTCCATTTACTATTGTGTTTTAGTTCTCCAGCACTAAACAGGTGCCTGGAAAATGCTACAATCTCTGGTCAGCTGAATTGAGCATGGCTTTCTGTGTCACATTGTCCCTGCCCTTCTTGAAACTTAAAGCTGGGTAAATAATTGACCCTCATCTTAATTGTAATGGCCAATGTATTTTCTTCATAAGAAAATACTCAAGCCCTGGCTGCGTAGCTCAATTGGTTAGAATATCATTGGTTTCCAAATATATCAAGGTTGTGGGTTCTATCCCCAGCCAGGGCACATACAAGATTCAACCAATGAATTCATAAATAAGTAGAACAACAAATCAATGTTTCTCTTTCTCTCCCTCCCCCCTCTCTAAAATCAATAAATAAAAATGTTTAAAAAATACTCAGTGTACTGTGACTAAGTTTTTGAGTTGGTGATGGTACTTTTGAATTAAATGCAATTTAGTTGTCCAACTTCTGTGTTACTGGAGTAATTGCCATAATGCTTATAAAATGTATTATCATGTATCATTAGCCATAGACTGTTGAATCTTTACATCTAGCTATTTTAAGACACATCATAATTAAAATGCCAAAGGTTAATGGTAAAGAGAGCATCTTAAAAGCAGTAAGAGAGCCCTAGCTGGTGTGGCTCAGTAGACTGAGTGCAGGCCTGTGAACCAAAGGGTCTTGGGTTTGATTCCCAGTCAGGGTACATGCCTGGGTTTTGGGCCAGGTTCCCAGTAGGGGGCATGTGAGAGGCAACCACACATTGATGTTTCTCTCCCTCCCTCTCTCTCTTTCCCCCCCTCTGTTTAAAAGCAAATAATATCTTCTTTTTTTTTTAAAGCAGCAAGAAAAAAGCAGAGTTACCTACAAATGTCAGCTGATTCTCAAAAGAAACTTTGCCAGCTAGAAAGGACTGGAAAGAAGTATTCAAATTGACGAAAAGAAAGGAACTACCACCTAGGTTACTTTATCCAGCAGAGCTATCATTTAGAATGCAAGCGCAGATAAAGTGCTTCCCAAAATAAAGCTATAGGAGTTCATCATCACCAAGCCATTATTACATGAAATAATGTAAATAAGTCCCTTTAAGAAAAAGAAGAACAGCCCTAGCTGGGGTGGCTCAGTGGATTGAGCACCAGCCTGCGAATGGAAGGGTCACCAGTTCAATTCCCAGTCAGGACACATGCCTGGGTTGCAGGCCAGGTCCCTGGTGTGGGGTGTGCAAGAGGCAAACACACATTGATGTTTCTCTCCCTCTCTCCCTCCCTCCCTTCCCTTCTCTCTAAAAATAAGTAAATAAAATCTTTAAAAGAAAAAGATCAAAAGTATGAACATCAAAAAGGCAACAAATTCACAACTATCAACAACTGAAACTAAAAAAAAAAAAAAGAACAACTAAGCAAACAACCAGAACAGGAACAGAATCATAGGTATGGTGGAGGGTTATCGGCTGGGAGAGGGGAGGGAGATTAAGGAAAGATGCAGAGATTAAAAGGCATAATTTGTAGGTACAAAATAGACGGGAGGAAGTTAAGAATAATATAGGAAATGGAGACACTAAAGAACTCACGTGCACGACCCATGGACATGAACTAAGGAGGGGGAATGCTGGAGGGAAGGGAGAGCCTGGGTAGAGGGAGACAAAGGGGGGAAAATTGAGAGAAATGTTGCAACATAATCAATAAAAGATACTTAAAAAAAAAAAGAAGGTGTACGGTCATTACACATATTGGTTTAACAGTCCCTCATTGTAATGACTATTATCATTAGGCTTGCATAATAAAAACTTATTAAAATTACTTTAATTGATGCTTAAAGTCAGGGATATCACTTTAACATAGGTTTTGTTCTGTCCCAGCCTCATTGTTGTTGAAAAATCCACTGCAGTTTAAGTTTAGGGAAAACCTAAGGTCGAACTTTCTGAAATGGCAGGATGACTTGAGAGGACAGAATGGGCCTAGGGCAGACCTAATGTGATTTGGAAATCTGCTGCTACAAATTGGACAGCTCAGGGACCAGATGCAGACTGCAGACAAGTTTTGCTTAGTTTGTACAATGTTTTAAAAACCCCTGAAGTCATCTGCCAAGTCATCTGGTCCCCAGCTCCCTATTAACTTACCTCCAGCAGCCTTACTCACTGACTTTACCTGGCTGGCCCTCGTAAGCACTATGTGCCCGGAAAATAGTTATATATCAGTAAATGAAACATGGGACTGGGGAGGGAAAGAGGTGAAAATGGAGGTTTTAGGGATACGTGGAATTTGAAGGCCAGTGAGCCCACTGAGGGTGGGGGTTGGGGATACAAATGTAGAACTGTGCACATAAGCTTGAGAGAGTTGAGGTTCTGAAGAGCTCAAATGCAAGAAACTTCAAGACAAAACTTGTGGCATCACGCACATGTAATGGCTGTAAGTCACCAGAAGCCTAATGCAGGTATAGAAGCTGTAATAAGAGAAACAGTGTAGAGCAAGGCTATGGAGGTCAAGGAAAGATAGAACTTCAATTACACCTAGAATGAAAAGGTAAAGATGGAGGAGGTGAGGGAGCTATTAGATTTGGTACCTAGGCTGTTGATACCATCAAAGAGCCAGTTCAGCAGAGAAAAGAGGTAAAATTAAAGACACAGAGAGGGAGTAGATATAGATGTAGGTGGACAAGCTACCCTTTTAAGATGGCTGACAGCAGAGGGAAGGAGCTGGAACATCACTCAGTAACACATGGTGCAGGATCTCAAAATCCAGTCTTTTGAAAAAGAAAAAGGCTGTATGGAAAAGGAGCATTATCTATAGGCGATACGAGGGTTTGGGTAAGTGGAAGTAGTAACTCTAGGCCAGAGATAATGCCTCTAAGTGAGAATACCAGTGCAGATGGAAATTTTTTCACACATTGAGGAATGTTAAGGGATTGCTGGTTGGATGGTCTATAATGTGTTAAATGAGGTCAGCAGTTACAGATGTGGAATTTTGAGCTGTAGGAAAACAGAAAAGATCTGGAATAGTTGGCATAAGTAATGTGGTGCAGGCCACTCAGGAAAGCAGGACAGGCTTGCTAAGCAGCAAGCTGAGGTTTGCAAGCATTAACCAGGGTTCAAACTGTCATGATATTGTGACTTTATTATCTACCACAAACTGCAGGTTTGCCAAAAGGTTCATGAGGTTCCTTCTTTAGCTACAGTTACCTTTCTTGTAATAAGGGTCCTTTTACATATACAAATTGCAAGCCCATGAGAGCCCCGAGCATGGTTTCTCCTGGAGTACACTGGGTGTGAAACCATCAGCCTTCAGGGGCAAAGCCTCAGGACACTTGTCATAGTTTTTACTGTGAAGACATGGTTGAGAATTTTATTAGAAAATGTTTCTCTTATTACCAGGATTATTTCTTCTAAGCAAGTGATATTTCCCCCCTCTTCTTTGTGCATGTTGCAGGTTGTAAAACTGATTAGGATTCTTTTTCAAGTCGGATAATAGTTGAGGGGAAAAAAATCTGGATTAACCTCTGGCTAAGGAATTGAGCTCAGCAGGCTACACTTTTATCGGCCTCATTTCTGTCTATGGTTTGAGACTTTATCCTGTTCCTCCTTCTCATGTGTTTTTGTTGTCTTGTTACATTTCACACATCCTACAGACTACTTCAAATCCCTTTTTTTGGGACAAGATAGAACATAAATATTAAACATAAAAACTTAAGGTATTTCAAGTACAATAACACTTGTGGCAATGATCAAATAAAAAGCAACTAGTTACAGGCAACCAGACCCAAAAACACCTTTTAAAAATCTTCCAACTTTTCATTTACTGCCACTTGCGACAACATGATGGACCTCAAGAATATTACGCTAAGCAAAATGTCAGTCAGAAAAATCTAAGAATCATATTTTACTCATATGTGGGATATAAAACTGAAACTCACGGACACAGACGAGTGTAGTAGTCACCAGAGGGAAGAGGGTGGGCAGGCAGGGGGTGGAGGGAGCCTAGTATGTGGTGATGGAAGCTGGTCTGACTTTGGGTGGTGGGCACACGGTTCAAGTTACAGATCTTATATCAGAAATGTACATATGAAACTTATAGGATCCTATTAACCAATGTCACCCCAATAAATTTAATAAAAATAAAGTGTATTTTTATAACAGGAAAAAATAATGAATGGTAGTATATAGAGCAGAAAGCTAAATTTGTAACCAGAGAATTATAGCCAAATTAGTGAAAAAATTAAGACAGCTAGATTTCATCTCTGTGCCCTCTTCTCTTCAGCCTGCCATTAAATATCACGTTATATATTATACTTAACACCACATGGTTGTATCTAACACCATTTAAATAAAAAAAGACTGAGGTGTCTGCCTCGATTTTCTTGTATGAGGGGATGTGGCACAACTATTCCTGAAAATTTTTAAAAAGTAATTTGCCCTTTTAAACTATTTTCGATGCTTTCAACTCAATTACCACTATTCAAAATGGCTATCTTGTAGTGGGTTAAGAAAGTGAGCCGTGGAGCCAGCCAGCTGTTTTAAATTGCAATCCAGCATGTATGACCTTAAGCAACATACTTATGTTTCCTCACTTGAAAAATACTGCTAACAGAACCTACCTCCTAAGATTTTGAGAACTTAGTAAGTGTATGTAAGGTACTCAGAAAAGTGTCTATATCATTTTAAATGCACAAAAAGTTGGTAGCTATAATTATGTTGGTTTTACAGTTGGGAAGGCTCATGAGCCTCTGGGGGTCCAAGCTCAAATTTTGGACCCAAACTAGTCAATGACTAGCTGGATTCCAGATGCCCAAGCTAAGGTGTAGCTGAAGACCAAAGAAGAACTTTTCCAAAGAGCGCCTTGCTGAGAAATACCTATTGAAGTCAACATTTCAATTACAAAAAATTCTCATTAATGGTACTTTGCACAAGTTTGATACCCTAACCCCACATTAACTGGCTCCTGCTAGAGCCCTACTGAATTCATTTATTAAACAGGTATTTTATCGAAGGCCTGCTTTATCATGCAGTAAGTTTTAAATACCACAAATTAAAAAACCACATACACACAGAACCACACTCTTTCCCCCCCATGGCTTCAAACTATCGTAGCCAAGTAACAGCTCCTAGACATTACCCAAGTAGCAAAAATAAAGCGTTATACCTGTCACGAATTTAATGGAAATCACAAACAGGAGCCTATCACAATTTCAAGTCTTAAATATTCAAGACATACACTGTGTGACAACAATAAGTAAACTTTGGGGTCCCATTTGTTGAGGTCAGTCCCACACAGAAAGAATTTGGTAGGAGTGAAGAGTAGCAGCTGCTTAGTCCCACTGGACCATTCGCTCTTCTTCCGGAAGAATACTCCAGTTTGGCGAGGGCACATCCCGGGCCAGCCAGTTGAAATCGTCAACGTCGTTCCAGTTATTTTTGCTTCTATCTAAACCAGAGCCCTCGAAGTCCTTGTCGATCCCCGGGTAGCTCCAGGTATAAGGGGCGAACTGGATCCCACTGCAGTCCTCCACGATGGCCCTGCTGGTCACCTGCAGGAAGATGCGGGTGTCTCTCGTAGTGTGTACTCGGAGCTGCTGGCAGGCCACCGCCAGGACGCACTCACTGCAGTCATCCAGAAACACAGAGGTGGTCACCGGGCCGCAAAGTACCGTGCAGCTCCGGGCCTTGGTCAGCCGCAGGGTGTTGGGATTGCCATACAGTCTGATCGTACAGTTGCTCAGTTCGGTCAAAAGGACGTCTCGCTGGTGCAACTCCTCCGCTTTCTTCTCCAAGACTTGGGACTTTAGGTTGGAAAAGCCGCAGAGCCAGCTGGAGCCGAAGTCTTCCTCCTCCTTCAAAGGCGGCGGGGAGGCCGGGATGCCTTCCGCCGAGGGGGTGCCAGGAACCGCATCTACTTTGGTGGCCGAAGCAGCATCTTTCCTCCGGGTTTTAAAAGCGAAACGCTTCTTGGGCTGTAGTTGCTGGCGCCTGTCGGCCAGGGCCGCCTGCAGCCGTGCTAGCGCTTCTTGTCCCTGCCGCACATCGTAGGCGGCCAGGAATAAAACCGAGTCATTAAGAAGTTTCTGCAGCCCCTGAAGCCGAGCGGCCGCCTCTTCCAGTCGTTCGATGGACTCCCCGCGCTCCAGAAGCTCTTCCACGGCTGCTCGCTCCCGAGCGAAGGCGGCAGCGAAAAAGTCGCTGTTTTCCTCCTCCACCTCCTGGTTCTGCCGCTTTTGCTTCCGTCTTTCCACCTCCAGTTGCCTCTCTTGTTCTCGTCTCTGAAGCCGCTCAGGCACCAGGCTGCGGTCCCGCTGGGACACTGTATCCCCGTTCCCCACGACGGCAGCGGAACAACTAGCTGTCTCCATCTTGACTGCAAGCTTCCTTTCTCCTGCATTCCTTCCTCCGGGCGCGCCCTCCGTGAGGTCTCCCACCAACGCGTCCTTTGATTGGCCGGCTACGATGACGTCAGAAGACCGGCCTTATTTTCTTCGCCCATTGGTTCATCCCCATTGGAGGGGGGTATGGGGTGGGGCGGACTGACAAAGAGGGTGGAGAGACAAAGGTCCTTGTGGATGGGTGGGGTGGGAGGCAAGCGGGGGAAGTTTTTTTCCTCTTAAAGGGGCAGGACTTATATCCGGGATTGTGGGGTGAGTTGCAGCAGCGGCAGCTGCACATGTGGGTTTGTTTATAAGAACAAGGTTAGAAACTCGCAGGCTTCCCCCTCCCCCCCAGCTCCTCCCTACTATCCCCTTACAGGCCAGAGATCCGCTACTGGTGGGGGGAATGTGTGCGTGTGGTGGTTGGGGGGACAGGTAGTGGTGAGAAAGATGGAGGGGGGAGGGAATATTGCACCGCCCGGCCCGCGCCGGAGGAAGCGGCAGCTGGAACAGCTGGCTAGGGAGCCGCTTGCATGCCTCTGTTTTTTTCTTTTCTTTTCCACCACCCCGTACCCCCAACCTATTCCTGCCACCCCAAAACGCTTATCCTACCCGCCCCCCCCCCCCCCGCCGGAGCCTCTGCAGTTTGGCGTGGCCTGAGGTTCCAGGATCTCCGCAGGCAGTTACTAGCGCGGGAGAAGGCGAGGGGCACCCGGATGGGAGAGACTGGGTTCCTCATTGCAACCGGGTTCAGAGGGCCCTAGGGGAGCCTAAAAACGGATTACTATTTTTTTGGCCAATTGCGGCATTCGGCGGGGTGGGGGTGGGGGGGTGAGATTCCACACCCCCTTCCCCTTCCTTCTACGTCCTCTCCCCGCTTTCGCTGTCACTCCCTCCGCATCTGGGCGCTGCTGGTTGCGCCGGGGTGAGACCCTAGACCCAGGCTCTGCGACTCTCCTTGGGGCTGTCGGTCTTTCGGAAAGGGACGGGGGAAATGTTGCATTATTGCTAGATGTGGTGGGAGGGGTTTGTCACCGGAAGTGAGTAAGCCTAGCCTACTGTCGGGACCAGCCCGAGGTGTGAGTGGGCTGCAAAGACGGCGCAGGCTTTAGCAAAACCCAGGGCAGCCGGCCGCCGAGAACCTTGGACGCGGCAGGGCGGGCACGCAGCGACCTCGGGTGCTCGGTGGAGCTCGGCACAGAGCAGGGGCCTCTTTGACCGGGCCCACCTTCCCAATCTAGGGTTTCACCTTTATTCTCCCCTCGCCCCCACATTTTTTTTGCCTTCGTCGTTTTTAATTGAAGTATTAAATTGCCCAAGAAACTGTCACTTGACATTTCACCGATATGCCTGCACTTTCGTGCAGAGCAAGATGGGAGGGAAGAGAAAGAATTAAGACTCATCCCAAGTCTTCACGCCCTATTTTCCTCCTTTCCTTCCCATTTAAAACAACACATAAATATCTGTATTTCCCCACTGAAAGCACAGGTCACCCGTTCGCAGTTCTGCGCAGGGGTGGTAGGTGTCTTTGACTATTTATGCACAGGCACCCGATGGAAATGGGGGTGCTTACCCCCCATTTACCTCCCGATGAAAATGCCTGTGCTTACGCTGGTATATAGCATTCATTTTGTTTGCTTTGTTTCATTGACAAGATAGATGAGTGTTTTTGGGCTTTGTGAGGTATGGTTCCAAGGCTGGTGAATGAAATATACTTGGTTATCTTGTCTGAGTCTTGCATTGCAGAGGAATGCAATAACTGCTTTATTTTATGAAGAGTTGATTTAACCAAGGAAGATTTGGAGATTTATTTTGCTAGGGCGGGGGAAAAACCTGACCTGCCTTTCCTAAGTTTTTTCAGCAAAATCTGTTTCACAACAACTAAGAAAGTTTGTAGCCAAACAAGGTTTACTGGACTTGGGAATTACAGCTGGGGTCAGGCAACATTTCTGCATTAGCCATAATGAATCTGTGAGTGGTTGTTAGTTTGTATCACAGGGCAATTGGATGTCATTAAACTCTTTCAGGACTTTCATTTCTGTCCCAACAGATTTTGGCATAGAATCCAGTAGACTTCAGAAGTTTCTGAATATTTTTAAATTGGCTAGTTCAGACTTTAATGAGAAAGAAGCAGCAAAGGACAAACATGAACAGGCCACCGGTTGACCCAGTGTGTTAGAGGCAGTTTCAAAGACTAATGTGAAGCCTGAGTGGGGCCGGGCAGGGTTCAGTGGTGTGGTCATCAAGCAGTGTTGTTGCGACAGCTTTTTACAGCCTCCAGCAGAACTGCTAGGTTAAGATACGGATTTAAAGCTATACTTCCGAGTTTGAAAGCAGTAGGAAGGCTGTGAAACCTCTGGCATTGCCAGACTGTACTTGTATCTTCTTTCTGACATTTGAGAGCAGTCAATTCAGTGTGTACCCTGGAAATAGATCACAGCTCCTCAGAGGTAAGAAGTAAAGAGGTGGCGTGCTACAACAGAAATATGACAAAAGGCGTGCAGCCCTGAGTTCTGCATCCTACTTTCAAAGATACCTTAAAAAACTTGTGAATCAAAGTGCTGCTCTCTTTTAGACATCTTAAAAAGTGAAAGAATTTTAAGGTATTATAGACTTTAAAAATACTTTAAAAATAGATACTTTGGGATTCTATTAGTTAGATTTGCTTTTTAACTTTTTGAAAATTTCAAACGTGGTAGAGCGGAGAGAAGCATGTCGGGTGTACCCATCACCCAGTTTGGACCGTTAACAACTGACAGTCTTCTTTCTTCTAAAACCCTGGCCTCTTCCCCATCCCAGTTCACTCTGGTTATTTTATAGCAAATCCAAGACATTATATTATTTCACATTTTACAATCTACAAAAATTTCAATATATATCTCAAAAAGATTAGGACTGCCTTTTTAAGATATAATACTATCAACTATTGCCACACTCAAAATCTCATCAGTTCCAGTCTATATTCCCATTTCTTTGATTATCCTATGATTTCCTTTAAGTTATTCTATTTGATAAAGATCCAAGCAAATTCCATATGATTGTCTAGTTAGTATGTCCCTTAAATCACCTTTAAATCCTCTTTCTAATTGTCTTGTTGGGAAAAAACCTGGTCATTTGTTCAGCAGAGTCTCGGACCATCTGAATTGTGCTGGTTGCATCTTCATCCTGTGCTTGTTAGACTTTAAATACTTATCATACGTACTGGATCTTTAAATGTCATAAAGTGAATGTGTATATATTGATATGCCACAGAAAATCAATAACTAAGTAGTGAAAGCACTTAAGCACAATGAAACAGTCTTTGGGTGTGGCTATACAGCAAAAAATAAGGCCTTTTGCTGTTCTGTGGAGTTTGTCAGGGACCAGTGCTGTGGAAGATGCCAGCTATACTCAGGCACAATAAAACAGATCGAGACCTTGTAGTCTAGTCACTTGATGCCAGAAGGAGGTGTCACCCAATGAATGGATATAAAGCATTCATTAAAAAGCTCTAGCCCTGGCCGATGTGGTTCAGCGAATTGAGCGTTGGCCAGCGAACCAAAAGGTCACTTGGTTGGATTCCCAGTCAGGACACATGCCTGGGTTGCAGACCAGGTGCCTGGTTGGGGGCTGAGGGCATGCGAGAGGCAACCAATCAACGTATATCTCACACATTGATGTTTCTCTCCCTCTCTTTCTTGCTCCTTTCCCCTCTCTCCAAAAATAAATAAAATCTTAAAAAAGAAGAAGAAGGAGAGCTGTATATGTCAAGTACTAAATGGTAGGCAAATACTCCTACCTTGGTCCCTGACTTTTCTGACACAAAGACAGTGAAAGATGATAGCTGGGGGGTTATATGATCTTCCTGAAAAGGCCTCAAATTGGTCTGAGAAGCAGGACAGGGGCAGCCCCTTCCTTCCACCTTTGCCCTGGCTCTGCTCCTCCCTGACACTCTTCAGTTCCCAGAACTTTTCCCCTAAAGCCTAGCACAGAGACAGGAATTGTGTTACTTATCTGACATCAGATTATTAAGCACTGACTGTGTCCAGCACTGAGCCAGAGAGTCCCTCAGGCTGCCGAGGTGAATACAGACAAACTCAGTCTCTAGCCTTGAGGAGGCCTTATCTAGGCAAATAATCACACAAACTTGTGAAATTTTAAGTGACAGCTGACAACTGTTACAAAGGAAAGAAGAACCGAGCTTACTGCTAGTGGGTGGTTTGACTTTGTTAGGGAGGTGAGTGGAAACTCCCCCAAGGGGCTGCTGAAAGGATGAGAAGGAATTCAGAAGGAGAAGGGAGTGAACACTGAAAAGTGCCTTTTAGATATATGGCTCCTGGCGTCCCTGGGACTTCACGGAGAGCTGCATCAGAGGGGCGCCGTGGGCAGGAGGCGGACTGCAGGGGTGAGATGAGGGATGGGAGTGGGGTAATAGAGCTGACAGATAACTTTATCTTAATAACATTAAAAAAATTTTTTTACTGATTTTTTTTGAGACATGGGAAGAGAGGGAGAGAAGCATCATCGCTTGCCTCCAGCATGCACCCCAACCACGGACTCTGCAACCTAAGCATGTGTCCTGACCTTTTGGTTTATGGGACCACACTTCAACCAACTGAGCCACACTGGCCAGGTCAAACACACAGCTCTTCGGAGAAGTCTGACTGGGAAGGGGAAGGGAGAGAACCGAGGGGGCGAGGGAGGGAGAGACGGCAACAATGAGGTGTTTCTGATTTCTACAGAAAGAGAAGACTTAAGGTCCAGAATATAAAGGTCCTGAAAAAGTTGGGGGGTGGGGACCCAAAACAGGGATTAATTAGCTTTGGGGAGGACAGCTTCTCTGTTGCAGTATTGTTTTAGCTTTTTATCATGAAAGTTTTCCAACATAAACTTTTTTTTACCTCAGCTTCATCATAATTGATACAGAAGCTTTAGGAAACAGTAAATTACCATGTGCAATGGATGCCATTTTCTGTTCTATTTATTGCATTGAAAAATGCTGATCAAGAGCCCCTAAATTAAACTGCAGTTTAAAAAT